TCTCTGAGCTTCGTGGTTTTCTTTCCGACATTTCATGACCCAACTAGGGAACATCATCAGTGCTAGAAGGGAGTGGGGTGTGCAGAGAGGAGGAGGAAAACTGTGTTCTGTGAGCTTGGTTGTTTTCCTGCAGACATTTCATGACCCAGCTAGATAACATCATCAGTGCTAGGAAGTAATGGGCTTTGCAAAGGAGGAGGAGGAGGAGGAGGAGGAGGAGGAGGAAGACTGTGGGGTCCTTGGTGCTCTCTGAGCCTGGCTGTTTTCTTGCAGACGTTTCATGACCCAACTAGGTAACATCATCAGGGCTCCAAGGGAGTGAGGTTTGCTGTCTATTTATATATGGCTTGTACAGAGTTAAATCCCACTCGCTTCCAATCCGGACAATGGCAATTTAATTCCCCCCCTTCCCCCCCCCCCCCCCCCGCAGGTTGTCATTTGACTGCTTCCCGCGGCCGAGAAGATGGGAACAACGCAACTTTTCCGGACGCTACGTGTCAGGGGCGCCTTCCCGGCTGCTGCGCGTGTGTTGGGCTTTGGCGAAAGTGGCGGCCGGCCAGTTTTTCTCCCCTGCTCCCTTGGACCCCGCCTGGGTTGGACTCTACTAAGGGGTGGGAAGGGGCAGCTCCGGAGGAGACCCTCCTCGCTTGCAAAAAAAAAAACACTTCAAAGGACCAAAAAGGAGGGCTGGAGACGCCCCTTTCCTTTCCGTTTTCCTTTCGCACGGCTCAAGAGGCAGCTCTGCAACACGCCAGCCAGGCTGGGTAGGACGAGAAAGAAATTAAAAAAGACTCCTTTTTTTTTTATGATCGCGGCCTGGGATTTAGTGGAACTGCAGAGCCTCCCGTCACGTGGACCGTGTGGGCTCGTCCGTTTCATTTTCTGGGCAACCCTACAGAAGTTGGTCCCCATTGCATTTTTATGTATTTATTTATTTATTTTGGGGGGGAGACGTTTCCTTCTCCATTTAGCCACACCTTCCCCCCTTGGATTTCCTGGTGGTGTTCCATCCAGCCACTAACTAAACAGTTCTGAAATTGTGGAGTTTCTGAACTCGGCTGTGCTGAGGATGTGGTGTAGACTGATGGTGTGTGTGTGTGTGTGTGTGTGTGAAGGATGGTTGTGCGTGTGATAATACGCACCTTCCTCCTCTTGAAAGAGGTGACCAGACACCTTTGTTTTGTGTGTGAGAGAGAGAGAAAGAGAGAGAGAGAGAGAAAGAAAGAAGGAAGGAAGGAAAATTAAGAAAGAAAGAAAGAAAGAAAGAGAGAAAGAAAGAAAGAAAGAAAGAAAGAAAGAAAGAAAGAAAGAAAGAAAGAAAGAAAGAAAGAAAGGAAAAGTAAAGAAAGAAAAAGAAAGAAAAGAAAGAAAAAGAAAGGAAATTAAGAAAAATAAGAAAGAAAGAAAGAAAGAAAGAAAGAAAGAAAGAAAGAAAGAAAGAAGAAAGAAAGAAAGAAAAAGAAAGAAAGAAAGAAAGATACTACAAGTAGTCCACAACTTACAACAACAATTCGTTTAGTGACCATTCAGAGTTATAATAGGATTGAAAACAAAAGCGATTTAGGACCATTTTTCACACTTATGACCCCTGGACAAGTGATCCAAATTGGCAACCGACTCGTATTTATGACGGTTGCCGTGTCCCCGGGATCACATTTTTTGGCGACCATCTGATGAGCAAAGACAGTGGGGAAGCCAGCTTCGCTTAATGACCATGTTAGACCTGCAATGCTTCGCTTAACAACCCTGGCAAAAGAGTCGTAAAATTAGGCACGACGCCCTTAACAGCTGACTTCCTTAGTAATGGAAATTCGGGTCCCAATTGGGGTCATAAGTCGAGGACCAGCTCACCTGTTCCCTCCCCAGGGTCAATCACATAGAAATTATTTTTTTTTTCCGGTTCGTTATTTTTCCCCCCCTACATATTATTTATGCGGGCAAAGGGAGGTGGGAGCGCCTGGACCACCCCACACGAGTGGGCTCCTCCTCCATGTTTTTGTCCCCTGGGTTTATTTATTGCCAACCCTTCATGGTGTTACGTTTAAAAAAAACAAAGAAAAAGGGTGTTAAGAGAAATTTCATTTCTATATGTTGTTAAATAAAAAGGCAGAAAAAACCAAAGGATGGTTGGTGGTTGCCTTTGCTTTGCCAGGGTGGGGCTGGGTGGAATGTAATTTCGTGGTATGAGGTGCAATGACAAAAAACTAAACTAAAACTAAACCAAAACCAAAACCAAAACTAAAACTAAACTAAATCTAAACTAAACGTAAACCTAAACTAAACCAAACCTAAACTAAAACTAAAACTAAAACTAAAACTAAACTTAAACCAAACCTAAACCTAAACCTAACCTAAACCAAAACCAAAACCAAAATTAAAACTAAAACTAAAACTAAAAAACTAAAACTAAACCAAAACCAAAACTAAACTAAACTTAAACCAAACCTAAACCTAAGCCTAAACCTAAGCCTAAACCAAAACCAAAATTAAAATAACTAAAACTAAAACTAAAACACTAAAACTAAAACTAAACTAAACCTAAACTAAACCAAAACCAAAACCAAAACTAAGCTAAACTAAAAACTAAACTTAAACTAAAACTAAACTAAAAAAAACTAAAAACTAAACTAAACCTAAACTAAACCAAAACCAAAACCAAAACTAAAACTAAGCTAAACTAAAAACTAAACTTAAACTAAAACTAAACTTAAAAAAAACTAAAACTAAAACAAACTAAACTAAATGGGGCTGCTCTTGAAAACTATCCAGAAGCTTCAACTGGTTCAAACTGGAGTGGCCTGTTTTGGTTTTGTGCAAGCCCAGATTTGCACCCAAGTCAGTCACCTCCCTTGTGGGACCCCAAAGGTGCTTCCCCCCCCCCAAGGGGCAACTGGACTTTCTGGTTTTTCTCTGAAGACATTTCGCTTCTCATCCCAGAAGCTTCTTCAACTCTGACTGGACGGTGGGGAAGGGAAGGATTGATATTCCTTGCAGACAGAACTGGTCATTTGCATCCTTTTTGAGGGTCGTTGAGGCCACTTGGAGGTTTGTCTGTGTCCTCTTGGGGTCACCTGAATAGTGCAAATAGGTGTGGAGCCAACAAGGAAAGGACACAGGGTAGAAAACCTCCTGCAGCCATGAAGGCTCCACACCCATTTGCGCTATTCAGGTGACCCACAGGGTGACTTTGGGCCAATCACCGGGAGGTGGTGAGTTCTAGTCCTGCCTTAGGCCCATTTCACACACGAGACAAGTGGGAGATGCTGCTGCAGAGAATTTTTCTATTAGGCTTTCAAATGCCAAAGGAAATGCTTGCAAATGAGAAGCAGCAGAATGGGCCACCTCTGTTTTCCAATTCTGTTTTTAGCCCACTGCCTCTCAACCTCGGCATTTTGGAGATGGTTGGACTACGACTCCCAGAACTCCCCAGCCAGCTGGCTGGGGAATTCTGGGAGTCGAAGTCCACCAGTCTTAAAAGTTACCAAGCCTTAGAAACAACTAGTGCAAAGAAACTCCCATATAAAAGAATGATGTTTTAATAGCTCCAGTTGCTCTTTTATTACTATCTGGAATGCGGCTCGGATGGCATTTTCAGCTGGTCTGGCGGGGAAAAGGCCTCCGTTCAGCTGCACGCAAACCATCTGCCCTCATTTTGGTGCTGCACTGCTTTCACACACACACACACACACCCCAAAAAAACCAGGGTGGGTTGCAACAGAAGAGAAAGAAGGTCCGAGGCTTAGGAACTGAATTTTAAAAGGCCCCCCTAAGAGATACTTTGGATGTGTCGGATATGAGCAGCGCCTCCAATTTAGATGGGATTCCGATCTCAGTCCAAGATAAAAGTCACAAACAGCCGGGGGAGTCGAAGCAAAAAGTGTCAATTCGCTCTGTTGCCTCCATCCCGCGTGAAGAAACGTCCACACAATTGTGTTCTGTAACACAACTTACAGGATAAAATTCATTGCAACGAAAGAGGGCAAGAAAACCACATGAGAATCAGTGAAAGATCCAGCAGAGGGAGCCCTTGTGCAAGAAAATTCCAGGGTTGAGCCTAGAGAGGAAGAGGAGTGAAAGAGATTGCACTAAATTCGATTCGCTTAGTGACTGCTCCAAGTTACGCCGGCATTGGGGGGGGGAAAAGGGACCCCGGACCATTTTTCACACTTTCACACAGTTGCAGCCTCCCTGGCGTTAAAATCCACAGCATGCCAACTGACTCACAATGATGACGGTCACGTGATTCCCTTTGGCGACCGTTTGATCCGGTGAAGTCGAATTGATCTAACAACCATGTTGCTATCCCCGTGTTTCCCCCAAAATAAGACCCCGTCTTGTAATTTTTTTTCTCGGCCCACCAAAAAAAGGCACTAGGTCTTATTTTGGAGGGGGGGGGGGAATATCAACTTTTCCCGAGCTTGTGGGTTGATTTCCGAACGTTTCATTACCAGTCTAGGTAATATCTTCAGCGGAGTTTGGGGGGGGACATTGATGTTCTTCTATATGTAAGGCCACCGAAAAGCACCAGTTCAACCCTCGTAATTATTCAGTTACTTTATAATACCTTGTTTCCATGAAAATAAGTCCCTCTCTTAGGTTTTTTTGCCACCAAAAAAAGTGTGTCGGCAGTTCCTGTAAGACGAAGGCATGGATGCTATGGACTGGTGGTGCTTTCACTCTAGTGGTAGCATGAGATGGAGTCTACCACCCACACAAGTGGCTCAAGTAATGCAGATCATCCAGGATGGCACATCAATGCGAGCTGTGGCAAGAAGGTTTGCTGTGTCTCTCAGCGTAGTGTCCAGAGCATGGAGGCGCGACCAGGAGACAGGCCAGTACATCAGGAGACATGGAGGAGGCCGTAGGAGGGCAACAACCCAGCATCAGGACCGCTACCTCTGCCTTTGTGCAAGGAGGTACAGAAGAAGCACTGCCAGAGCCATGCAAAATGACCTCCAGCGGGCCACAAATGTGCATGTGGCTGCTCAAACGGTCAGAAACAGACTCCATGAGGGTGGTATGAGGGCCCGACGTCCACAGGTGGGGGTTGTGCTTACAGCCCAACACCGTGCAGGACGTTTGGCATTTGCCAGAGAACACCAACATTGGCAAATTCGCCACTGGCGCCCTGTGCTCTTCACAGATGAAAGCAGGTTCACACTGAGCACATGTGACAGACGTGACAGGGTCTGGAGACGCCGTGGAGAACGTTCTGCTGCCTGCAACATCCTCCAGCACGACCGGTTTGGCAGTGGGTCAGTAATGGTGTGGGGTGGCATTTCTTTAGGGGGCCGCATAGCCCTCCATGTGCTCGCCAGAGGTAGCCTGACTGCCATTAGGTACCAAGATGAGATCCTCCGACCCCTTGTAAGAACATATGCTGGTGCGGTTGGCCCTGGGTTCCTCCTAATGCACGACAATGCTAGACCTCATGTGGCTGGAGTGTGTTAGCAGTTCCTGCAAGACGGAGGCATTGATGCTATGGACTGGCCCGCCCATTCCCCAGACCTGAATCCAATTGAGCACATCTGGGACATCATGTCTCGCTCCATCCACCAACGCCACATTGCACCACAGACTGTCCAGGAGTTGGGGGATGCTTTAGTCCAGGTGTGGGAGGAGATCCCTCAGGAGACCATCCGCCACCTCATCAGGAGCATCCCCAGGCGTTGTAGGGAGGTCATACAGGCACGTGGAGGCCACACACACACTACTGAGCCTCATTTTGACTTGTTTTAAGGACATTGCATCAAAGTTGGATCAGCCTGTAGTGTTTTTTTTTTCCACTTTAATTTTGAGTGTAACTCCACATCCAGACCTCCGTGGGTTGCTAAATTTGATTTCCATTGATAATTTTTGTGTGATTTTGTTGTCAGCACATTCAACTATGTAATGAACAAAGTATTTAATAAGAATATTTCATTCATTCAGATCTAGGAGGTCTTATTTTTGTGTTCCCTTTATTTTTTTTGAGCAGTGTATATATCTCCGTTCTCTTTGACAGCAGACGCTGGAATCAAGAGACAAGATCTTGGGGGGTTTTGTTTCATTTTATTTTTCCCCCCTTCTTTCTTTTTTGGAAATAGTTTAATCGTTATTGAATGTTCTACATCTTACAGTAAATATATCGTACAGTTACAAACTCTTGGCTTAAATCTGTCGGGGGAGATTTCCCTTCCGCGATCTCCCCGACGAAAATCATGATCGTTATGCATTTACACGTCCTATTCACAAGTTCGGGTTGAGGGGTCTCTTTTCAAACACACCAGTTTCCCGTCCGCGTCCCCCCCCCCACTCAACTCTGGGTTAAAGTTGAAAAGAATGGAAGACTTTTTCGTTTCCCAGGAAAAATGTTCCAAAATGCGACTAAACGGAATTAATTCTGCGGGCTGAAGAATTTTCAGCAAAATATTTTTCAGCGGATTCCCCTGCAAAAGGGGCTTTTTGTATCGCAAGAGCCAGCTGTCTGGGCACACTGCAAATTATTTTACGCAAGAAACTCCACAAATGCAGGTAGTCCTCAACTTACAACTGTTCCATTTAGTGACCGTTCAAAAGCACTGGAAAAAAAAAAAGGACTTCCGGACCATTATCACGCTTGAAACGGCTGCAACGGTCATGGTCACGAGATCGAAAATTTGCAGGCGTGGCAACTGGGTTCGTATTTATGATGGTCGCAACATCCCGGGGTCTCACATGATCCCCTTTTGCGACCGTCCGACAAGCAAGGGGAAGCCAGGTTCACTTAACAACCAATGTTGTTAACTGCAGTGATTCGCTTAACAGGCAAACAGGCAAAAGAGGTCGTAAAATGGGGCAAAATTCATTTAAAGAAATGTTTCGCTTAGTAACGGACATGACGGTGGTCATAAGCCGAGGACTACCTGGAACAAATATTCAACGCATCCATTACACAAAGGGTTAACCTGCTCCTCCAGATGCAGCAATTCACTTAACAACCGTGCCATGAAGGAAAGTTCACAGATTTCTCACTTAGCAACGTAAATTTGGGGCTCAAGGACGGACGTAGGTTGAGGACTACCTGTGTAGCGATAGGGGGTGGCGGTAGCAAAGGCCATTTCCTAATTCATGGGGAAGGGGCGCAGGTAGGAGGGAACCCTGAAATACCTGGACAAATGCACATGGATCTCAACTACCAATGCAGGCTATATTACAACCATTCGTTTATTGACGGTTCGAAGTTACGACGGCGCTTTAAAAATGTGAGTTCCAACCAGTTCCTGATGCTGGTCACCGCAGGATCCCTAGGGTTCCAGACCAAAACTTGTATTTACGACCCAGGGTTAGGCCGTCGGCATATGCGACCTTCCGACACGCATTCAATAGGTGGGGAGGGGGGGGAGATGGATTCACTTAATGGCCATGAGCTTCACTTAATGACAGCAATGGTTCGCCTGACTGCTACAACCACAAAAAAGGCGTGAAATCAGGCATGGCTCACTTAACGACCGCATGGCTTAGCGACGGGGCCCGACTTTGGTCGTAACTCAAGGACTACCTGTATAATGCCAGGTTTTTGTTCCTGTAAGGGCCCCCCCCACAAATCTATAGATCTCAGGACTCTTGACCGGGTTAGTTGGGGAGGGGCTCCACCCCCTCTCCTGGCCCAATTTGACATTATACACATTATACAGCTATATATACACCTGGAAGTCCGAAGGTGAGAAGATGGCTGCTTGGAGCCTCCGAGGGAGGACCAGTTGGCTGGACGTCCGGCCAAGCGATTCCCCTAGCGTTGCCCAGGCGAAAATGGGCGCACACACCCCAAACACAAGAATTATAGAATAAAAGAGCTGTTGGGGGACCTTGGATGTCTTCTAGTCCAAGCACGAGAGCCTATACCCGTGATGGCATACCTATGGCATAC